CTAGAGACAGGAGAGAAGTCCTAGCCAAGGGAGAACCCAACACACTGGCTTCTGAGCCTCAGCTGGACACTCTACCTACCGCCCTTACTCACCATAACCAGACACTCGCCCCCACATGGAACGAGCAGCTCCTAGGTCACTGTGACTGGACACATCACCAAGCATGGGGACGGCAGTCCTCCCTCATAGCCAGCCAGTCTCTCTACATGGGGGCAGTGGCCACTCTTGCACTTCGGCCCACGGCTCCTCCCCTGTGAAGAGCGGCCTCGGCCGACCGCTCCTCCTCCTCTGTGAAGGGCAGCGGCCACTCACTCTCCTTGTCCCACCTCTCCTCCTCTGTGAAGAATGGTCCCTTGTTAACCTCAGCCCACCTCTGCTCTCCAGAAAAGAGTGGCCCTTCGCACACCTTGTCCCACCGCTCCTCCCTGTCTGTGAAGGACAGCCCCTGGCTCAGCATGGCGAGGGTGCTGAACTGACCAGAGCTCTCCAAGGAAGCAAAGGCACAACTTACTGCCTCAGGGGAAGAGCTGAGCTGAAATCCTGGCTCCTGGAAGAACCCTCCCATCTGACTGGCAGGTCAGATCGGGGCTCTGATTGGCTAGTGAAGCCTGAGGGACAGGACCAGGTGAAAAGAAGGGGCAGGCCCTGTACAGGATTCACCTCAACTCAGACTCCACCCTGAACAAAGCATGCCACTTAAGGCTCCACCCTGAGGGGTGCTAAAACCCCCTCTTCTGGGTACACCTTCTGATTTCTGATTTCCTGTTCTCATTGTGTCACCCCAGAATGCTTTACTCAGATTAAATATGGATTTACTAATTCAGTCTAATTAAATTGCTGCATCACCAACCATGGTTTTCCATTAACCTTTCCATTAACTGGTATTTTTAAACGTAATAGGGAGACTTTACTCTTTGTTTTCTACAGGCACTTTCAGAACCTGCTCATCATCTCTGCTGCTATGGTACCAGGACATGAAGACAGGGCCAGGACAAGTAATGAGCTGGGCAGGGGGGAAAGGGAAATGGGCATGTGGCACCTCACGGCTCTCAGCAAACCACACACACACACACACACACACACACACACACACACACACACACACACACCAGCACTGGCTGCAGCTGCACAGGCACACAAGGTGCTGCAAGCCCCAGCCCTGGTCCTGCACACAGGGAGGGAGAACCATCTGGCAAACATAAAACCAGATTTATCTTTATACTTGAAAAACCCAAAATAAATAAATTCATAAAATAAATGGAAGACAGCCCATGATTTTGCAAAGAACTGAATACTAGGTAGTCAAATACTATAAGTGCTGGAACAAGGAAACCAGTACAGAAACCCTGCGTTTTTCAAGACCTGAAATTAAGCATGTTTTTAGCTATTTGGAGGGGAGTGTCTATAAGCACACCTAATGATAAAAGATTTGTGTTGAGAGTTCTCACTTATTCATCACTTGTTTCCGATGGGGGACTTGATGTCATTATTTAGCTGAATCCCTCATCCTTCTGCCTCCACCTCCCAAGTTTTGGAACTACAAGTGTGTCCCACCTTACCAGGCATATAATCAAATTCAAATTTCATTTCTTAGTACCAATAAAATTTGAAAGGTTTTATAGAACAATTTCTTGCTCAAACTGAGTCTTTCGCCATAATAAAAACTTACAATCATGTTACCTACTGACACAAAGGCTCTTTAAAGGACCTTGTCTCAAAACAACAAACACAAATAAAACACATACTTTAAAAAAAACCCACCGATTTTGAAGAAGATTCTAATGCACATATTAATAATGCCTAATCCATTTTTGTCTTCTTTGATACTCTGAATTTACCTGGAGGGACCAGTTGGGTGAAGTTCAATATGGAATCCCATGGCTACTACCTTGTTAACTACTCAGGATAAGGATGGGGCCAGTTGATAGGACAACTAAACCAGAACCACTTCTAATACCTAAGGCAGAATAGCTCTGATTCATGATGCCTTCCAGCTGACTAATCATTCAGGTAAAGTTTTATTCTTTTCAAGAACTCTGATGCTTTTGACGACTGGTAGCTTTGTCAGCTTAAAGCAGCAGCCAGGGCTCCAATTGTTTCAAAACAGATTTCAAAAATGGGTATTTTAAGGTTGCTACTGTTTATAGTCTTAATATTAATCAATAAAGTTTTAGTAAGCTACTAATCAAATTCTGACGGAATAATGAACACCATACTATGACACTATATGATCATAAGTATAAACTCACAATTAAGGTGCTTTTCATTGTGCTAAAACTCTGCCAGTTGTATGTGTTAATTTTTTCAGCCAAATCATTTCTAATATGAGTATGCTGCTAATGTGTCTTAATATTTATGTTTTCATAAACCCAAAGGATTCCTTAGGTTCCATGGAGCTGAATTGGATCCATTTACAGGTCAGATTCATTCCAAATAAATATTACTCAACTTTTTCCTGGCCTTGGGACTTCTTAACCCTTCCTGGGAGCCCCTCACCCACCTTACACTTCTCCCATTAAGTACTTGGACCTAAGGGGAGGGGAAACTTAACCTTGTCCTCTGCTCTGGTAACATCTTGCCAGGTCTCAAAAAGACACCACAGTTCCATACAGTCAGGACCAAGATGAAACAACCAGCTACCAGGAGGACGTGGCCACACCCCCCACCCCAGCTTTCTAATTCTGACCCCACCCCCGACAATGGGCGGGATGCTCTTGGCCACATCATAGTTATGTCAGGCTGCCAGAGGACTCAGTTACACATGTGCAAGCCACCCTTTGAAAGCAAGCACGCCAAGCACGCCCCCCTCTCTTGCCCTCTCTCTCTTGCTCTTTCTCTCTGGCCTTCTCTTTCTCTGCTCTTTCTGTCTTTCTCTTTCTTCTCTCTCTCTCTCCCCTTCTTTCAGTTGGCCACCAGCTACCCCCCCTTCTCTCCCCTCTCTCAATAAAATCCACATGGGTGCTGAGTCTCGTGTTTGTGTTCCATAGACATTAGCTAGAGCAAAAGAACAACACCTCTGATTCCTGATTTTGTTTCCATTGGGCCACACAGGAATGCTTTGGTCACATTAAACATGGATTTATTAATTCGGTCTGATTTAATTGTTGCATCACCAACTGTGGGTTTCCATTACACTTTCCACTAACCAGGATTTTCATACAGGGAGGCTTTGCTCTTGGGCTTCTTTGGTTTTCTACAGCTACTTTTTGAACCTGCTCATCATCCCATGGCCGTGGCACAGGGAGGACACGAGGGCAGGGCCGGGACCCACCAGAGCAAGCAGATCATGAGCAAGGAGCTGAGCAGGTGAGTGCAAGAACAGGGCATGTGGTACCTCAAGGCTCCTGATCCAGCACTCTAGATCCAGCCATAGCTGCTGCACGGTCACAGAAGGCGTTGCAAGCCCCAACCCAGGATGTGCATGCAGAGAGGGAGGTTCTGAACTACATGTCCCTGCATTCACACGGGTGGATCCCAGGGGTGCTGCAAAGGTGATAGTGCATAAATCACACCAAAGATGGCTACAGGTGCTGGCTCTGGCCTGTGCTCACAAATACAGCCAGAAACCTGAGATTTTATCCCATGCTGAGAATTCAGCTGAGAATATGTGAGCTCACCTAAAGTTCCCATGCACAGCTGAAAAGCATTAGATATAGACAGTAGATCCCAAGTGCCCCTGGTGCACCTGCCTGTTATGCCTAACTGGGTTTACTCAACATCCAAGGAAGTGACCTGCAAAACCAAAAGGTTTTTATTGCTAATAACCAAACAGGCAAGGCACTGGCTCTATCAGAAGAGTAAGACGCCTGCTTACAATTGTGAAGCATTTTGAAAAGGGAAAAGGGAGGCTTGAGACAGCTAGTCTCAACTCATGAGGTTTCCAAGGTTACAGAGATTTTACAGAGTACAAAGTTTCTTTACAAGGTCAGCAAGCTCAGTGACCTTGTTCTCAAGATAATGGGGCAGGAGGATGCTGGTGGTGGGCTCCAGCTTTCTCCTCTATCTCCTGGGCTCTGGTCCTGTACTCTGCAGTCAGGGAGTTATCTTCTCTCTAGTTTTCCCTTCTTGCCATAAGCCCTAATTTATGCCTCTTTGTTATTAATCTTCCATTGCACTGCCACCAAAATTTGTTTATTTCCCCTCACCTCCACCCAGAGGATTGAAATGAGATGATGAAATGAGTGGGGTTTCCCCACAACACAACACAGAATTTCTGTTCCTCCCTGGACTCCTTGACCTCTCCATTTCATTAGATACAAGAGTCCAGACCTCCAGCTCAAGGGCAGGTATTTCCATTGTGTTGTGGTTTCTGATTGATTTTCCCACTTCCTTCTACTACCCACTCAATCTCTCCTGACCTAAAAAGCAAACCCCTCTGGAGGTGCCTCCTTGTCCAATTTCCTTCCACCAGTTCTTTCTTTAAAACATTCCCAGGCACTGCTCTGAAACACTTTATCGAAGTCCTCTTTGATTTTGGAGCGAGCTGCTAAACCCAGTGATGGGTTTCAGCTCTCATCTCTCCCACTGTTAGCAATAGGAGACCCAGCTGACTGCCTCTGGAGGCTTAGCAACAACTAACTTTACCCACTGAAAACATTCTGTTGAATTCTATTGTGGTTCTGAAATAGTGTTAGGGACAAGTGTTTAATGTTCAGAATAAATGAAGACAATCCAAAAGAGGGAAGAGAAAACAAAACACAGCAGTGTATCATTTACATTTGCAAATAAGATCTATTATTCATACGATCCTGTTTTTCTCTCTCCTTAGATGACAATGTTTACAATCTGAAATGGCAATATTGTACTGACATAATGTTTCAGTTCATCTTATTTGAGCAACAGTGAGAAAACTAAGAGAAATATGTGTGCAAGGCTGGTATCTGACTTTGATCACTATATGAAGGCCAAAAGTCGACCTCATGAACTTGGCTTCTGCTTTCCACATAACATGATGGTCTAAAAACCTGTAATCACATTACAGACACACACATATAATGGAAATTTTGTTTTGTTTTGTGTTTAATAAATCTCATTGCCATTACATTATAAGGCATCTGTGATAGCCCCCTTTGAAGGCAATACTTCAAGATGAAGTGTCCCATGGGAACATAATGGGGGCATGAAGAAGCATGGAATTTCAAATTACTTATCTACACATCCATAGCACATGAAGCTATGTTATGAAATAATGGTGTGGATAACATGGTGCCCATTGCTGCTTGACAAAGTTCCAGCATTTCGACATTGCAGACCAATCACACTTCTCCAGCACCTGCAGAGGCAGGCAGATCTCTATGAACTCCAGGTCAGACTGGCAGAATTAGTTCCAGGACAACCAAAGCCACACAGAGAAACCCTGTCTCGAAGAAACAAAACAAAACAAAAACAAAAAAACAAAATAAAAATAAAAATACAAATGTAGATACCACAACGTTGTCTTATAGTCTCCACATATCTGTCATGGCTTACATTACACACAACAGATTTAAAAAGAAAAATGTCACTGTCAGTATATTATCAACATCTCTGGATAGTTCTCTTAAAAGGCAATACTTCAATATGATGTGCCAATTAGATAACTGATGAGGGTATGAAGATGCGTGGTACTTCAAATAATAAATACATATTCATGACATATCAAGTTCCATGGTGAAATACAGTTGCATGGTGATTACTCTACCTTATTACATGTCTTCCAAATAGATGAAAATGTTTCGTGGGACACACACATGAGGTATTTAATGTTTTTATATTCTCTATTAAGCATTTTAACATTAACATTGAAATATGATGACAAAACAGGAAATGTTGGTAGCATGCCATCTACCCTTAGACTCATACTTCCAAGACTGACACATGAGGATCATGAATTCAAATGTATCCCTGAATAATTACTGACATCCAAGCCAGGCTGGATACCAAACAACATTTCAAGGGAATTTGTGAAAAAAAAAAAAAAAAAAAAAAAAGATGAACAAAAGCCACAGAAGAAATGTAAGGACCACAAAATAAACTTCACTAAATGGACTTGCCACATATATAGCACACTTTAATATCTACCTCAAATGTTGCAAAATAGAAGCCACAATGCAATCTTCATATCACTCTTTAGTGAACTTGGTACATAATTTACTCACTTCACGGCTATACTGAAAGAGATGAAACAAGTTTGTTTGCTTGAAACTGAGACAACTGTTATGTCTAAAGTATTTACCAAATCACTTACATGAATAGGTTTTTTTTTTCTTGTATGAGTTTCTCCATATTTCCTGATATGAAAAAAGCTTTAAAATATTTACAGGGCTAGAAACATGACTGAGCCCTTAATATTAGTTCATTCCCTGGGCTAAGGTCAGGTTTTTGAGAACTTACAGTAATTCCTGATACAAGAATCTCAAAGGGTCTAACATTCTTGGGAAACAGAATGCACATGCACATACCCACACGAAGACACACTGACATTGCATAATTAAAATTAAATCAAATATTTAAACTAAATTTCACTCATGAATATTTTCTCTTGTAATTCCCGTAACACAGGTGTTGAGGCAGTTTTTCTCCATCATGAATTAGTTCATGTAACAGAAAGCAAGCATGTACACTTGAAGTCATGAAATCATCATTCTTAGTCTGCAGAATCATTGGTGAAAATTTAGGTCATTCTGCTCTGCAGGAAATATGTCACTGGGGCTGCCCTGAGAGTGAACATCTGCACAGCATTTTCAGTTTACACTTTCTGCTTCATACTGCAAATTAAGGATGTGAATTCTTACCTTCCTACTTTAGTTGCCATGTCTGACACCTGATTCCATGCCACTTTCATGGTAATGCTCTAACATTCTGGAACCAAGGGCCAAATAGAACCCTTCCATCAGTTCACTTAGACATGATGTTGAATAATAGGAACAGAAAAGGCACTAATACACACCCATGAAGTTTTACACTTGGATTGATTATCTCATGTAATTGAAGTATGAAATCTAAAAAGGATACCTTATCATTACATCTATAGGTCTTTTGTCCATGTGGGTTTGCCAGTGTAAACAAAATAATGCTTGAACAGATTTTTGACACTTGTTTTTTTTTTTTTTTTCTCCAGAATAATCTTCTGTAACTGAGCATAAGTGTGTTGGCTAAAGATCTTACTTACCAAATGCTTTATATTCAGATTCCCTTTGGTGTGAATTTTTTCGGATCTTCAAAATCTATTATATTCAAAGGCTTTAATATGCTAATTACATAGTAAAAGATTTACTCTTGTATAAAGACTACCATGAATTGCAAAACTTTGCTACACTGACTACATTTAGAGGGTTTCTCTGTACTATGATTTTTGATTTTTGCTTATTTTCGAAGATTAATGATATGTGCACTTGATTACACTTTCATGGTTTCTCTCCAGTATGTGTTCTTTCATGTCTTTGAAGATAACTGTGCCGTATAAAGGCTTTACCACAATGATTACATTCACGGGGTTTTTCTCCATTATGTGTTCTTTTATGTTTTCGGAGACTCTTGCGACATGCAAAGGCTTTATCACACTCATTACATTCATAGGGTTTCTCTCCTGTATGCGTTCTTTTATGTGTTTGAAGATTACTGTATTGTGCAAAGGCTTTACCACATTGATTACATTCATAGGGTTTTTCTCCAGTATGTGTTCTTTTATGTATTTGGAGACTGACTAGATGTGCAAAAGCTTTACCACATTGATTACATTCATAGGGTTTCTCTCCAGTATGTGTTCTTTTATGTGTTTGAAGACTACTGCGTTGTGTAAAGGCTTTACCACATTGATTACATTCATAGGGTTTCTCTCCAGTATGTGTTCTTTTATGAGTTCGAAGACTCTTGTGACATGCAAAGGCCTTACCACACTCATTACATTCATAGGGTTTCTCTCCAGTGTGTGTCCTTTTATGTGTCTGAAGACTACTGTGTTGTGCATAGGCTTTACCACATTGATTACATTCATAGGGTTTCTCTCCTGTGTGTGTTCTTTTATGTGTCTGGAGACTCTTGAGACATGCAAAGGCTTCACCATATTGAATAACTTCAGAGAGTTTCTCTCCAGTATGAATTATTTTATGCCATTGAAGATGACTGTGGCGTGCAAAGCCTTTAATACATTGTGTATATTCAGAAGGTTTTTCTCCAGTATTACTTCTTTCATGCCTGCAAGAATAATTGGCACATGTAAAAGATTTACCACATTCAAAATCTTTATATCTGTATGAATTAATTTTACAATTTGGTATAATTGTAAAGAGTAACCAGATCTTAAGCTTTTATCAATTTGTTTACACTCATGTTTCCCTTCATTAAGGACTATTTTGCATATTTGAAGATACCTGTAATAGTAACAGCCTTTATTTCCTGGTTCACATTTAGGGCATCTTTTTTCTCTAAGAGATTTTTCACATATTTGAAGAGAACTGGAAGAAATTAGACAATTACCCCATGTATTCCATTAATAAATTTTCCTATACTGTGAGTCATACTACATTTGCAAAGTAACCAGGACAAACAGAAATATTTATATATTCCTAGTACTCATAGGGATTTTCTATAATATAAGACTGTTGATGTATTAAGCTAGAAAATCAATTACTTGGAAACTCAAATCACATTCAACATGTCTACTCAACATGGGGACTACTATATCTTCTAATTGTTCTCACATGGAGAGAGGTATAGTGCTTCTTTCCATATCCCTATGCTCATACAGCTTGTATCCAAAGTGATATGTTATATACCCATGAAAGAAAGAATAACAAATAATTTTATACCCATGAAAGGAAGAATAACAAATAAAAGGTTTCCATACTGAATTTACAGCGACTTTCTCTTCTTCATAGACATGGTACATAGATTATGGTATCGTCAAAACAACCCCCTTGAATCTTGCCTTAAACTAACACTCTCACTAAACTTAGCCAAGTCAGAAAAACTATATGAGTAACACCAGCTTTGCTATGCACTATTTGCTCATTAGAAGATTTTGGACAATCACTTACAACCTATTCAATCTGTATACATTTTGTAATATGAGTGATATGAAACTAAATGCATTGGCAGTTATACAGCATAGCACTGACATAATAGCTATGATTCAAGTGGTGATATCTGTTAAGGCATTGATTCCTTGTCTTCCTTCTTAAAAGAATGACTTATAAACACAATTCACTTACCTGCCATTGAGGTATAGGGTTTTGAGAGAATTTAATGATTATCAATTCACTTTAAGCTGTGATTATTTACACTGCTGCTTTTCTTTAAAACTTTCAGATATAATAAGATATCTTCAAAGGCACATCTGTATCAGCATACACATGAAAATTACCTTCCATGTCTTGGAGAACTTTGACAATTTTCTTCAATATTATGATCTTCCCATTTGTAGCCTAAAATATAGTATCAGGAAAAGTATATTTTTGGAAATTGTACAAAATTTAAGTTACTATCTTCTGTGATCCTTAGAACTATGCCTGATTTATTCACCTCATTCTCAATCAAAATTACAAATGAGCATTAATAACCAAGAAAAAGTTGTCCCCTTATTTTAAGATGTGAAGGAAAATTCACAGTATTACCTATAGCAGTGAGGTTCATATAGGTCTCCAGCATCACATCTTTGTAGAGATTCTTCTGGGAAGGATGCAGCAAAGCCCACTCCTCCCAAGTGAAATCAACATGCACATCACTATAAGTCACTGTATCCTAAAATAAGCCAAACATGTACACAATAAAAAGCATGATACTGACAACACTGTAAATGTATAGTTCTTTGACAATATAGTTATATAATTATGGTGATTCCCACACTTATTCTAGGACACCAACATTATAAAATAATCACTGAGTCAATTTAGAAGGAAACTGACTAGGAGGTTTATCTCTATCATTTCTGAACACTTTGAATAGGATATCACCTTGCAAGAGAAAAGCACATTAACATACATAGAGAAACAAGCAAACAGATCAACATTACTGAGTATACATCAGAGAAATTTCATGAACAATTACTAACTAGAAAAAAATCTTGAAAGAGCTGGGTGTTGGAACCCAGCAGTCTGCTGACCCCGCCCCATGATGATGGGCAGGATGCTCATGGCTATGTCTTCTCTATGTCATGACTTACCTGGCTGCCAGAGGACTCAGTTATGCATGTGCAAGTTTCCCTTTTAAAACAAGCAAGCCAAGTGCGCCTCTCTCTTGCTTTTGCTCTCTCTCTTTCTCTCTCTCTCTCTCTCTCTCTCTCTTTCTTTCTCTCTCTCTCTCCCTTGCTCTCCCCCCCCCCCCTTCTCTCCTGCTTTTGGTTGGCCACCTTTTCTCTCTATCAATAAACTCCACGAGGGTGCTGAGTCTTGTGTTTGTGTTTCATAGGCAATAGCTGCAACAAAAGAACAACATTGGTACCGTGGAACTCAGTCAGGCTCTCCTCGAGGACTCGGTGGTCGTATGCTGGCGGGCGGCCAGCCAGAGACACTTGGGGACCCTGATTCCCAACCAGCATCCCAACCAACTTCCATCCACCCGTTCACTGGAAATACCATCCCACACCAGCTTCAATTAGGTAAGGTACCCTTTTTTAAAATTGTAACCCATTTCCTTAGAGTCAGTACATTCCTCACGGGTGAATGGCATACTGCCCTCCCTGGGTGGCATATCTGTTTCCAGCTTTAAGCCTTTCTGCTCTTGGAACTGCTGAGTCCCCCAGCCTCAGTTTGGCCCTGGCAACATTTTCGGGCTGATGAGCTTCGAATAATGCTCTGCCATTCTCGCTTATCGTGTGGCCACACTCTTGAGCTGACAAGTTCCAAGACTGATTGGTCATTTCTCACTTCACCCATGGGGAATAAACCGACCAAAGAAATACCCTACTCCACTCCACTGGGATGCCTAATAATAGAAAACTTAAAATCCTTTCACTTAATGCCACTTGTTAAAGCACCCAGACTTATTTACCAATGTACTGAAAAGTGGTCTAGATATCCCCTAGAAAATAAGTCAAATTGACCAAAATTACTGCCAGCGAACAGGTAGATGGAAGAAGTTTTTTCTACCTCTCTGCTAAACAGTCTCCTTCCCTACACATGTTTCTGTTCTCTTCCCACAATGCTAAAACTCTTCCTGCCTGCTGCAGCTGCAGCCTGTCTCAGGGCAGGAATCTCCTTCCACCTAAAAGTGTTCTGTTCCGCTAGGCATCTTAAACTCCTCTTGTTTGTCCTCTCTGCTGTCCTTCTCTTTTGTTTCTCCGCTGTGCAGATGCCAGTAGCTCACAGTGGGCTGGGCTGAGGCAGCATCTTCTCAAGCTGCCAGCTGTTTGGAATATGTTTATGGCAGCTGCCATCTTGACCATGTGGCCTAGCCTCATCCCCCATGGTTCTTCCCTCTGCTACACCAGCCACCTAGGCAGAGAGAGTCTAGCCAGCTTCTGCCGCCAACAGAACCTGTAATTCATTTACCTTTTGCCTTTTATTCTTTGTCTAGAATTTCTTTTTTTCACTATGTTACACATAGCTTCACACTCTAGTCCTCATTTTTACCCAGACCTGTTCAATATGTCTGCACATGTGATTTAAATTTAACTTTATATGCAAATGTAAGCTAAATATACAACTTAAATTCAACTGTACTAACTCTCTTAATTACAGGGATAACCCTCACTTAGCCACCTGTGTGTTTAAGACAAGTAACTAAAGATAAATTTTGTATACTAAGGTACACTAAACAGCCAGACAGCCGTCAAATGCTCAGAGATCTACAGAATATGGCATTTAAAATGTTTCATTAAAAAGCTTTTATAACAGAGAGACAGGCCAGCTGCTGGCACCACCCATTCCCTCCAAAAAGACTGTGAACACTGAAGAAACTATACCCACAAAAGTGTCATCACTAGCCACCGGGCAATCCTTCCTTTCATCTTAACTGCTGCAAAGGGCTCTAAGGACTGTGGACAAGAGGGCAGTAGAATCGACTTTCTCCACATTGCTTGGGCCAATGTAGGTAAGTCTTCCAAAAGATCCTAATCCACAGGTCTCATGCCATCAGCAGAAGGCAGATGTCCTTAAAGCCTCTAACCTCAACAAATGTGGAGGATCTTGGGGTGTCTGTCCATGCTGCCAGCTAGTAAGCTAGTAAGTCCCGGTTACTCTCTAATCATTCAGGTAAAATTTTATCCTTCTCAAGAACTCGGATGCTTTTGACGACTGGTAGCTTTGTCAGCTTAAAGCAGCTGCCAAGCCTCCAACTGTTACAAAACAGATTTCACAAATGGGTATTTTAAGATTGCAACTGTTTATAGTCTTAACATTAATCCATAAAGTTTTAATGAGCTACTAATCCAACTCTGACACAGTACTAAACATCATACTATGCCACTATACAATCATAACTGTAAGTATAAACTCAAAATTAAGGTGCTTTTCATTGTGCTAAAACTCTGCCAGTTGTATGTGTTAATTCAGCCAAATCATTTCTATCATGATTATGCTGCTAATGTGTCTTAATATTTAGGTTTTTATAAACTCAAAGGATTCTTTTAAGTTCCAGGGAGCTGAATTGAACCCACCCAAACAGGTCAGATTTACTCCAAATAAATATTCAACCTTTCCCTGGTCCCAAGACTCCCTTCCCTCACCTCAGGAACACATCCCTCATCTTACAATTCTCCCCTCAAGTACCAGGACCCAAGGAAAAAAAAAAAACTTTTTTTCTAAACTTAACATTGTCCTCTGCTCTGCTAACATCTTGCCAGATCTCAAAGAGACATCAGAGTTCCACATAGTCAGGACTGCTATGAAACAACCAGCTACCAGGACGTGGCAGCACCCCAGCTGTCTTATTCCCCCAAAGACAATCACTGCCCAAAGTCAGCAGGAATAAGTCTTGAGAATTCAACATCCCTATTTCCTAACCTGCCACACCCAACCCCCATCTTTTTAATAATAATAATAAGTGGGAATGTTGGAACCCAGAAATCTGCCTACCCCACCCCCTGATGATGGGCGGGATGCTCATGGCCATGTCTTCTCTATGCCCTGACTTACCTGGCTGCCAGGGGACCCAGTTACACATGAGCAAGTTTCTCTTTAAAAGCAAGCGCGCCAAGCACACCTCTCTCTTGCGCGCGTGCGCGCCCGCTCTCTCTCCCTTGCTCTCTTCCCCCTTTCTCTTTCTCTCTTCTCTCTCTCTCTCTCTCCTGCTTTCGGTTGGCCACCAGCTACCTCCACTTTCCCTCTCTTCTATCAATAAACTCCACATGGGCGCTGAGTCTCATAGGCAATAGTTGTATCCAAAGAACAACAGTGGGTATATGTTCATGCCATCCAGTCCAGAACTCATATCTGCCTCTGAGTTGAATGCTGGCCTAGTCTATATGATCCATTACAGAACAGCAAGAAATAGATATTAAGAACCTATCTTCCCTGCAAACATCAATAAAAAAAGAAAAGAAAAGAAAAGAAAAAAAAATAAAAACAAAAAGGACAGGAAGAACTCAGGTTTTCTATTGAAGTTCCTACAGAGTTATACATTCACTTCAGTTCTGTATCCATCTTTCATAAATGTGAAGGACTCTAGTTTAAACTGTAACTTTAATAAATCTTACAAAAAGGGACCACATGTTTAAAACAGTTCTAAATTGACAGATAAAAACATGAGCAATGTTAATACTGATCATAAATCACCAAGACATGGCAGGCAAAACAGCTCAGAAGTTACAAGCTCTTGTTGGTCTTGCATATAGGTGGGTTCAATTGCCAGTACTTACATAGGGGATCACAACTATTCATTATTCCAAGCTCAGGGAATTTAAGAACAATTTCAATACTCTGAGGACCAGTCACACATGTGGTAGATATGCATGTATATAGGCAATAGAATCAAACTCATTTTAAAAAGTAAAAACAAATACAACAAGCAGGAAGAATGCCACACACCTGTAATCAGATAACTCAGAAAGTCCAGGCAGTACTAATGTCATGAATCCTGCCATTCTGCCAATTTTAAAAATTCAAGCTGGGGGGTGAAGTACAGATAAACAGCAAATGCTTGACAGGTACAAAACCCTACATTCTAGGCCCCTTGCCACCACCACCCCCCAAAAACAAACAAACAAATATATATAATCAAGGAATGTTGACCCACCTTTAGTCATAGCATTTGGAACAAGTCAGGTGAATCTGAATTTGAGGACAGCCTGTTCTACAAAGCAACTAACTTTCAGGACAGCCAGGGCTACTCAAGACAAACCTTGTCTTCAAAAACAAAAAATAAAAACAACAAAATTTAAAAATCAGGCTAGCAAAATGGCTTAGCATCTAATAGTAATTGCTTCCATTGTATCTAATGTGATTTAGTAACACCTTTAAAATGGTGGTGACGTCAAGACAGACAGCACAAGAAGGAAGCTGGCTGAGCAGTTACAACTACAATGCATTAGAAACACAGAACAGGAAATAGGTTGATGATATAGAATCTCAAATATCATCCCCAATATGGAATTCCACTCAGAAAGGTTCCGCCTACTAAAGGTTCCACAAGCACCACAAAGAAAGCCATCAAGGAGTGCATGTGTTCACATACATCATCCTATCTGAGAGAGCTTTTCTTTCAGTCAACTAGATTCTGATACAGGACACTATAGGCTCATGGTCACCCATGAAGAAAATGCATGTAGTCACTTCAATGATCTTCATAGTCTGCAACAGCCCCTA